CTGCTACTCTGAAACCTTTAATCAAACACTAGTTCTCACACAGCATTTTTCTTACTTTGCCTATCTGTAAATGTTGATTATTATTGATGGAAATATTTGTCATGGGTTTGTGTGTATATGGTGAAATTGACATTTACTGACAAAAATCTAATCCTCCAAGACTACTTATAAAGCACATTCAATTTGAAATTGGCAGTAGAGCGGTGGAGGAGGTGGGGGTCACTAGCTTTTTCCTACCTTTTAAGATAGAATTGGAAGGGCAGTGTAGATCTGGCTGTCCTTATAGTAAGCTAGGCTGCCAGTTTCAGAATGCTGTTGGGGCATAATGTACTATAGAGTCTGTCTCAGTATCAAATCAACATGGTAAGTCAGGAGGGCTGGGGAGGAATTATTGGCCAGAGATTGGGGTTAGGTTGTATTTGATCGCACAATGGTAAAGCTGTACGCTTGTCCAAACATTGTAAAATACAGTATGGGGGGGGGGGGGAGAATCAAGTTTGATCCACCACACTATTTTGAACACTCTATACAGATTTCTTCACTCATATCCAAGGTGATGCCCTCAGGAAGGCCTGAGTCGACAGCAACTGTGAAGTTTTCAAAAGAACCTGTTCTGAACTCCAAAAATAAATAAATCAATAAAAAAATCTGAACATTTCTTTAAGTGGTTTAAACAGTTGTCACTTGCCATCTAAACTAAGCCAGCGGGAGGGAGTGTTGTGGAAACTTTCCACACATAAAAATTAACTTTCAGGCTGGGAACAAGGTACTTTTTGGAAACCGATAAGCAATCGACACAAGAATGGAAGTTCCCTCTTTTGGATGAGACATAAAACCAAGGTCCAGAACACTGCTGGCCATTGATTCAAGATCTCATGGCACTTTTTGCAGCATTATCCTCCGCATGGTGGCTTCCAACTTGAGCAAGTACATAATTCTGCCTACTTAGCCTTTCCCTTGCCCTTTCAATTTAGACCGTGTAACTCTTTTCACCTGCCATCCCATAATGTTGTAGCTGTCACTCTGTGCACTAAGGCCATGTCTATGGCAGGAGACTGTAGCACAGGCTCTGTAGGGCCATAGTGTAGATACTGCCTACAACCAGGGAAAGGATTTTCCCATTGATGGAGGTAATTCACCTCCCTAGATGTGGCAGTAACTAGCTTTATGGACCAGTTCTTCTGTTGACCTAGCCACGTTCACACTGGGGGGCTAGGTCGGCTTAACGACAGCGCTCAGAGGGGGGTGAATTGTTCACACCCGCAGCTCGGGGCAGGCCTTAGGGAGCGGTGGGGCTCCACCCCAGAGGTGGCTGCATGCCAGCAGAGGATCCCGGGGCGGAGCACGGGGCGGGGCGGCGGCGGGAGAAGGAAGGCACCCGGCGCTGGAGCAGAGCGGCGAAGGGAAGGGGCAGGGACCCAGCGGCCGGGGCGCGGGTTTATTGGCCGGCGCAGACACGCGTGGCCCGGGCAGGGCTGAGACACGCACCGGACCCGGGCAGCGGGCGCCCGGCGCTCACATGATGAGCTGCGCGGCGGGGGCCGGGCCGAGTTTCGGCGCTGGGAGCCCGGCAGAACTTTCCTCCCGCGGTCGCCGCGTCCCGGCCGGCCTGGCCCTGGGAGCCGCTTCGCTCCGCAGCCCGCTGGCGGCTTTTGCTTTGCCGGCCCCTGCTCCCCTCCCTCCGCTCGCTCTTCTCCCATTTCTTCGTCAGCTGCCTCCCCCTGGGCCGGGCCCCCTTCCCCTGGGCTCTCCCTCCAGCCTTCCATTCCCCTGCTGCTGACCTCTCCTTCCTTCTTTCCCTCCCCCAGATCCTTCCCCCCCAGACACACACATCCCCTTTCCCGTCCCCACCCACCCCCATGCCCCACTCCACCATGCTGACGGGGACCATGCCCCCAACGGAGGTGTACTTCTCTGAGCGGGTCATCGTGCTGGTCTCCTGTGTCCTCTCCTTCCTGGGCTCCAGCCTCCTGGTCTTCACCCATGCCCTTTGGCCCGAGCTGCGGACCCGTCCCCGGCAGCTCCTGCTCTACCTGTCCCTGGCCGACCTCCTGTCGGCCGTATCCTACTTCTACGGGGTGCTGCAGGACTTCGACTCGACCTCGTGGGACTGCGTGCTGCAGGGCGCCCTGTCCACCTTCTCCAACACCAGCTCCTTCTTCTGGACCATGGCCATTGCCTTCTACCTGTACATCACCATTGTGAGGGGCGCGCCAACGGGCACTGGCCTGCTCTGCTTCTTCCACGGGATGAGGTGGGTGAGTTCTGGCCACTCAACTGGTGTTACCCTCATCCAGGGCTCCCACTTCAGCCAAGAAGTGCCGCTGAGAGCTGGTAGATGGGAGTCCCACCTGTGCTCATCAGTGCCATGATCGTGGTTGGATGGCTGTTGTGTGTTGGAACTTCCCCATTGCTGCCAGGATTGGTGGTGAGCTGATGGGGACTCAACCTGGTCTCTCCTGAGGCTACTTTACCCTTCTTTAGCCCCTTTCAAGCCAGGGCTTTGTGGTCATTAACAAAGTAAGTGTCTCAATGCCCTTGGGAAGTAGTTCTCATTAAACCCAGATGCGGAAACTGCGGCATGGCGGGATGAAATGACTTGCTCACGGTCACACAGTGGATCTCTGGCAGAGACAAGGAAAGAACCCAGGAATCCTGGCTCATAGTTCTGACTTTCTGTCAGAGAGAGTCCCACTAGAATACCACCCGTACCCAAAGCAGGGAGGCTGTATTTAGTGCCTCTGCTCCAGTGACTAAGTCCCTCATTAAGCGTGTGTTTACCCAGCTCCTTGGCCTTTCCCGCCCCCCATACTCCCCTTGCACCAGTAATTCAGTAACTGTAGGGAGAATAGTATCAGGGGGTAGCCGTGTTAGTCTGTATCCACAAAAACAACAAGGAGTCCGGTGGCACCTTAAAGACTAACAGATTTATTTGGGCATAAGCTTTTGTGGGTAAAAACCCCACTTCTTCAGATGCATGGAGTGAAAATGACAGATGCAGGCATTAATACAAGGTGCCACCGGACTCCTTGTTGTTTTTGTAGGGAGAATGCGGTTTGAAAGTGAGGAGGAGGCTAGAAAAACGGTCTGAAGGCTGTTTGGCAGATCTGACGGAAAGCAAGACAAAATAGCTCACGGTTTAACTTGCGCCTGAGTGTTTACTGTTTAGCTAGTTGATTTTCCACATCATGTTTAATAAAAGCCTTCATTATGCAATCTGAGCTTGTGTAATCATGTGCCACCTCCAAGCTCAGCCTGACAGTGATCCTTTGGTGCTCTGGGCTGCCAGGTTTTTATAATAAATTACATGGGAAAGGCTATAGTTTTAAAAAACCCTCCCAGGCAAGCCAACGAGTGGATTTTGTGGTCTTTTTCTTTGTCAAATGTTTCAATCATCTCGTACAGTACGTACAAACAGCATTATTTTGGAGATGATTGAATTACACTGTTGTGCCGATCTAAAAGATAGACTTGCTTCATGTTTTCTCTGGCCTATGTGTTAAGGAGAGAAGAAAATTGGATTCTTACACTCAGATGATAATTAAAAGAGCTAAGGCCACGGCTGCCTGAGTAGAAATCAGAGAGCTTGCAAAAGCCGCTTGATAGCTCGGAGAGTCTAGTGTGTGACTTACATGATCTTTGCTATTGTATGTTACAGGGTTGTGGGATTCTTTCATTTGGTCTTCAAATAACGAGAAGGTGGTGAGGCGGGGCTACGGAAATTATAGAGAGAGGGAGAAGGGCTAGTGAGAAGGGCAGGCCTAATGGTTAGGGTACAGGAATGGGAGCCAAGATCCATGAGGCCAAATTCTACACCGACTTGCACCCCATCAAACTTGATAAGAATGAATGAGTCTCTGCGGAATCTGGTCCATTTGTTCTTTTCCTTTTCGATCAGTGATTTGTGGGACCATGGTCTGTGCCTCAGTTTCTCCATCTGTTTAATGCTTCCCAACCTAACAAGGGTGCAGGGGAGGGGAATTGTAAGGATGGATTGATTGATTGTGCAGCCTGCTAAGGATTCAAGACATCTCTTGCCACCACTAGGTACTGGGAGAGAGGATTCAGAAGCTGAACTCCCTCCCTCCCCCCTTTGTGAACCTTGCTGGGTTTTATTTTCACACTCCATATAGTCAAAATCGATCACCATGTTCTCTCTGTCCTAATAAGCGTCAGCAAGATGCCTGGGTATCATTCAGCTCAAACTTTGCTGTGTTCGAAGGACAAGGCAGGTCATTGACATCCAAGTCCCATTATTGGATTCTGCTTCATAATCAGTTGCACACAGACAAAATGGGAAATGACTGCCTAGGAAGGAGTAATGCAGAAAGGGATCTGGGGGTCTTAGTGGCTCACAAGCCAAATATGAATCAACAATGTAACGCTGTTGCAAAAAAAGCAAACATCATTCTGGGATGTATTAGCAGGAGTGTTGTAAGCAAGACACGAGAAGTAATTCTTCTGCTGTACTCCGCACTGATTAGGCCTCAACTGGAGTATTGTGTCCAGTTCTGGGTGCTACATTTTAGGAAAGATGTGGACAAATTCGAGAAAGTCCAGAGAAGAACAACAAAAATGATTAAAGGTCTAGAAAACATGACCTATGAGGGAAGATTGAAACAATTGGGTTTGTTTAGTCTGGAGAAGAGAAGACTGAGAGGGGACATAACAGTTTTCAAGTACATAAAAGGTTGTTACAAGGAGGAGGGAGAAAAATTGTTGTTCTTAACCTCTGAGGACAGGACAAGAAGCAATGAGCTTAAATTGCAGCAAGGGTGGTTTAGGTTGGACATTAGGAAAAACTTCCTAACTGTCAGAGTGGTTAAGCACTGGAATAAATTGCCTAAGGAGGTTGTGGAATCTCTGTCATTGGGGATTTTTAAGAGCAGGTTAGACAAACACCTGTCAGGGATGGTCTAGATAATACTCAGTCCTGCCTGGAGAGCAGGGGCCTGGGCTGGATCACCTCTCGAGGTCCCTTCCAGTTCTGTGATTCTATGATTCATAGATGACTCTGCCGACCCACTGCCGTGCAAAGCCTATGAAATATTTTTACCAACCTCAAAAATCTGCAAGAAGTCAGAGAGAAAACCGGTGCAGCAGCTGCACCAGTGGGGACTTGTTCCCTGCCCCACCTATCAGCATCGTTCTCCTCTTTCCCCTCCCTCCTTTGTTTTCTTTATTGTGGCTTGAGAACTTGGCCATAAAAGCGCAACTTGGGAAGTATGCTGTCTGGCTGGTTATTTTTCAAGGCTCCAAAGTCCTATTGCCCAGACTGAATTGTCCTTTGTGTACTGTCCAAAATCCCTTATCCAACAGGACAAGTCGAATCTGGAATAGCTCACAAATGTCATTAACAGATTCCGGGGCATGTGGTGACAAGTAAACTGAATGGAGGGACAGAGGGGGCTGTATAAAGAGAAGATGTTATTGTTAGGGGTTAAAGATAAGATAAAATTATTAGGATCCTTGACACAAGAAAAGGGGTTAATGATAGATTAGATAAGAGTTTAGGAATCATTGTGATAACTCACCAAGGCCCTGATCTTGCAGTGAGTCACACACGTGCATATTCCCATTAATTTCAGTGAGACTCCATCTGGGCATAGGTGGCTGTACAGCAGGGGTGGGCAAACTTTTTGGCCTGAGGGCCACATCGGGGTTGCGAAACGGTATGAAGGGACAGGTAGGGAAGGCTATGCCCCCCCCAAACAGCCTGCCCCCCCCCGCACCCTCTCCGCCCCCTCCCACTTCCCGCCCCCTTCAGAACTCCTGACCCATCCAACCCCCCACCCCCGCTCCCTGTCCCCCTGACCACTCCCTCCTGGGACCCCCTGCCCCTAACCGCCCCCCGGGACCCCACCCCCTATCCAACCCTCCGTCCCCTGACCGCCCCCTCCCAGGACCCCCTGCCCCTAACTCGCCCCCCCGGGACTCCACCCCCTATCCACCACCCTCAGCCCCTTTCGGAATGTGGCCCTGCAAACATGGACAGAGGCTTCAGGAGGAGCAGGGGCAGCCGCGCAGCCGGAGAGAAGCGCTGTTTCTCTCCAGCCGGCTGCGTGGCCGCCCGCGTTCCCCGTGCTCCCTCCACTCGCCCCCCCCTCCTGCTCCCCTGCCCCCACAGTGCAGCCCCTCCCCACAGTGCTGAGCTGCCCGAGTGCCCGGCCCTGGGTCCCCCTATTGTCGCGGAGTCTGTGCCAGGACACCCTGGGTTCACTTGTAAATCTGCCCCTGAGCCGTGCTGCTGGCATGGGGAGCTGGAAGGGGGACAGCAGTGG